TCGTCCCCGGAACTGCTATAGCCTGAATGATGAAGACATACGAATGTTCGTGTCTTTTTGGGCACAGTAGCTGCAGAGCAACTGCCAGGCACAGTAGCTGCCTGAGCAACTGCCAAGCAATTTCACCTCTAAAACACACGCACGCTATCTCTAAGGATTGACCTTGTGCGGGCTCTGCGTGTCATCTGCCTGCTGCCAGGCTGCCGTGCAATGTGCCAGGGTAGACCGTTGTCCCCGCGACTGGCAGAAAGCAACGCGGCACTGGAGGTACACTGTTCAAGCTCCCATGCAAAGACCGGAATGCGCCAGCTACTGAACGCTAAACAACACGGGTGGTCCACCCTTTTCCCTGCACTAGCACTTGCAGGAATTCTGCAGGAACATCATTCGGCCAGCGGCTTCTGTCCGTGTGAAGCACTGCCACTTTAGTCCAGCACGGCTCCTTTTCGGCCAAGACCTCTGCGAAAGTGACATGTCCCAATCGCCCACCCTACCCTGATGCGTTGGCCTGCTACCACGCAGCTAGTCTGGAGTTGTTAGCAAGTGGTTTTGCTGGCGCCGTCAGTTTCCGAAGCAGGAGCACGCCCGTCACCTTTTTGAATAGTGCTCTGGCAGATACTATGGGCCGGGAACGGCAGGGAAGTCTCTGCGTGGCACTGGACGCCAGCAGTCCCAAACCCTGGCAAGCAGCCGCCCACGTCAAAACTCTTGTAGACGTGCAGGGTGTACTGCTGGATGCGCTCAAGCTGCTTCATGTCCTGGTCTGGGTCGCCCACACCGACTGCGTACGCCACATGGGACAGGGCAGCGTAAGCCTCATGCGCTTGCCAGTTCTGCAGCTCGGCAGCAGCAACACCCTGCGCTTCCTCGTGATCTTAGCATGCCAGTCTGGTCATGGACAAAAAACCTTCACGCTGCCGCCTACTCCGGCCAAACATCCTGCCACTTCAAACAGCAGAGTTCAAACCAAAGATAGTGATGCTTTGCAACACAGGCTTTGAGAGTCTGCCTCTTGCCTTCGGTTTAGGGGCCGGCCTGCAGGAGCTGGCCGGTCGCACTCTCCAGTGATAAAGGTGCGCAAGCGGTCCCCGCCTCACACGATAGCGTGGCGATGGCCGAGCGCAGCTTTGACAACATCATATGGGTCGCCAGCCGGCTGACCCCCAAACCTGCGGGCTGCGCAACCTTCAAGAACGACTTGGCCAACTGCACCCGGAGGAATGTCTTGCCAGCACCCGGGCACGTAGGGAAAGTCCGAATTGCTTGCTGCCTGCAGCTTTCTCACACTTGTGACACGTCCAGACGCCGACCATCTTCACAGCACCGGGTGGGTCGATCCCATTGCTCCCCACCTTCCTCCTTGCGGCTGATACGGTCGGAAGCCCGCACCCGCATCTTGGAAGCATCTATGGTGGACCCCGTCAGCCACCAAGACTTGCGGGCGAGCGCGCCACAGAGCAGCTTCCATCCAAGTTGCCGCGATTGTTGAGCTGATGGTTGTTTTTGTTGCTTGCAACCTGGCCTGCGCAGAGGATGTTCCACAGGGCGCGGGCCACCACGCGCCGTGAAAGGATTTTTCCTGAGGACTGGGACCCGGCGGTGCTCTTGCAATCGCAGAACGGGGCCCCAAGCCACACAGCTGCAACCACTCCTTCGCACGCACTGAAAGAAACAAGCAAGGTCACGATTGAGAAGTTCAGGCAAACGTTAAGCAAAGACTACCTCTAACTTGAATGTCCGCAGCAAGCCTCCAAGAGTCCGGGGTGAACTCGCAGATTTACCCCCGCCTTCGTGAAGAAACCCCTTCCGGGATGCATCTTTTAGTGATGAAATTTGACAGTGCAGCCCCCCTTTAGCAAATACAAAACTTTACATTGGCAATGCCACATGTCAATGCTAGTTTTGACTTTGGCAATACTAATAGGGTGTAGGTGAAGGGTTTAGGTTTAGGGTTCAGGTTTGTAGGTTTGGGGTGTAGGTTTGGGGTTAGGTTTAGCGTTGAGGTTTAGGGTTCGGGTGTAGGTTGAGGATTTAGATTTAGGTTTAGGGTTTAGGGTCTAGGTGAGGTTTAGGGTAGGTTAAGGATCCAGGTCAACCACGTGCCCCTCTACAGGCCAGCTGCTAGTGCTCTCAGGAAGTATCGACTAGCTTTGTCCGAACAAAAGCAGCCACCGTCTCTGCCTTTCGACGAGCCAAGCCGCCCTTGCCTGTGTGGGCCTAATTCGTGCACGTTGTGACGAAGTCGGCAAGTGCTTAGGTGGCGTAGGTCTTTGGTTTCGGCCGTGGGGCGTTGCTTTGGGGCGCCGGCAACTCCCAGCACCTGGCGGCAATGCCTTCATCAACTACTGGAAATCCAAGATTGAGTATTCGCAACACTAAATTGAGTACTGGCAATACCAAATCTAGCAGCGGCATACAAAATTAATTACGTACTGGTAAGCCAATAATATGACTTGTTGGGCCATGAGCTGTAGCAAAAGTTTCTATCTTTCCGCAATGCCCGAAAACACAGGGCTTGCACAAAGATAGAAACTTTTGATTCTTCCCGGAACTGCTTACGAAGTTCTGTTCGAAACGCTTCTATCTTTGTTTCCGCGGGCCAGAAAACTGCAGAGAGTTGATTGTGCTGGCGATGCTGACTTGTGCAGTGGCAATGCTGAATGAAGTACTGGCAAAACTAATTTTAGTACTAGCAAGATCTAGCATTTGCCAATGCTGGCAATACCAAATCAAGTACTGGTGACTGATAATACTAAATTAAGTAGTGCCCATACTAGATTCAGTACTGGCAATGCCAAATTAAGTTCTGGCAATACTAGATGAAGTACTGGCAACACAAACAGGTACTGGCAAAACTAAATTTAGCATTGGCAATGCTACAACATCGAGCACTGGCAATACTAAACTTAGCACTGGCAAAAATAAATCTACGGTTGGCGAAAGTGAAATTAGCAGTGGCAACGCTAAATTTTGTGCTGGCAAAGCTAAATTTAATACTGGAAATCTAATTAAGTAATGGCAATACTAAGCGTAGCACTGGGAATACTAAATTTGGCACTGACAAGCAAATAGTATGACTTACCGGTCTATGAGCTGTAGCCAAAGGTTCTATCTTTCCGCAAGCCCCGAAAAAAAGGGGGAGAAAAAGAAGAAAAAAACAGGGTTTGCACAAAAATCGACATTTTTGAGTCTTCCTGAAACTGGTAACAAAGCTCTGTTTAGTCAGGAATCTACATTGTTCAAACCCTGATTAAAAACTACAAAACTTCGCATTGGCAACACTCAATCCATTACTGGCGATACTGAATTCAGCGCTGGCAACGCTTAGTTTACTAGTGGCAATACTGAATTTGATCTTGCAATACTAAACTAAGTAACTACTGGCAATACTAGTTTCAGTACTGGCCCACCAATATAGCCGTGGACACTTGGCATCTCGTGAGATGCCACACCTGTTCTGCCCCAGAGGGCCGCAGCCTACGTTCGGGCAGCCTTTTGACACGCCTTAGGCTTGGGCCCTATGAAGATCTGAGTAAGAGTAGGGCGCTCAAATTTGGTCTATCGGTAGGGAAACTTTGTGAACCCGGGGGGTGCTGGCTTGCGGGTTGCATGCAGGACATACTGTGCCGTGCAGAATGGGTAACATTCCGCCGTGGTAAACATAAGTCCAACGATGCAAATTAAAATTGTTTTACAAACAGTCCAACGAAAGAAGTAAGAGTTGGATCATTCGGTGAGCCCTGCCATCAACACAAACAGAATGATGTTTACAGAGCCGGTTGAAGTTTACCACTCGTCAGGCCGAGATCTGTCAAGTTGCTGGGGCCTCCTGAATTCCAACAAAACGCACACGCGCGCCATACCCAGCACCGGAAGCGTTTTAGAAAAATGTGAGTTTGCTAAGCTTGCGTTTGTTGGAAACCTCCATTTTGAAACCGCCGGTTACTCGTGTGGGTAATTATGTGGTCACGTGCCCATAGGTGGAAAAATAGATGGCCCTGGTAAATGGAAAAAACACCATCTAAACCAGTGCCATCAAGTTCTCGGCAATCTAACCCGAAAGGACAACTATGCAGATGCTCGTTGGAGACCCGTCCCGTCCCTCAAACCCAGCCTGAGTCTCGTTGTCGAAGACCCCCGCCGGCAGCTGCACGCGAAAGGGTCCAGGGGTGTAGGTGTCGACGCTCGGTGACGTTGGAACCCAATGGCCCTCTACGAGGAATGCCATGGCCACAAACAAAAGTATGCCCATGGTGGCGCCAAGTCCCGCCTCGTTTGAGGCGAAGCTTGAGCCTGGTGAAATCTAAGGACGAGCAATGGGCTTCGACATGGCAACTGCCGAATCCAGAAAGTTGCTTCAGGCAAGGTGGGCAACATGCCGCGCGATGAAAGCAACGCCCAAGTGTAATCGATTCGAGTACCGGGCGGCTACAGCCACAAGTGCCATAATTAGAATAAAATGGCACCTGCCTCGGGGAGCATGGAAAGACATTTTTCTCAGGGACAGTTGTCATGGGCGCCTTGGATCGCATTGGATGCGTCATCGAAAAAGGCCGCCCAACTCAAAACAAGCCTTCGTGATGTCTCTCAACATCGGAGGTGAGCGTGGCAAAAACAGACTGTCCACCAACCCCTCCTCTGTCCTACGAGATTGCGACCAAGCCCTTGATCGGGGAAATCGAAGCATCGGTGCATCGAGCCCACCCGTATAGCACATGCAACAAATACGAGTTGACTGGGGTTAAACGGGTGAAAACGCATATGCGCAGCAAGGAATGTTTCGTTCATCTGCAGTCCCCCAGCGCGACATTCTCTAACGTGGACTCCCGCAGGTGTCAAGCCCAAATTCTCGGTGAGAACTGCCTCGCCTTTCTACAGGCAGGCGCACCTAGGTCTTTCTCCGAATCGGAATTGGTCACCTAAAATGTTTGGCTTCCATTTTGTGCCCCCTAGAATACCAACCAGAAGGGGGTCTGAAATCATATTTACATCCTGAAGCATCAGGAGGCGTCCTTGATGATGAAGTTCCCTTCGACCCTCTCCAAGGCGACGACCATGTCATCCAAGCTGTGCAGGGCCCTGTTGTAGACGACCTTTCGCGCCCGAGGCTAGCCTCCTAATCTGCAATTGTGGGTCAGAGATAAGTGAGTGGGCGTCAATCTTAATAGGGGGGGCCCTTTTAAGACATCTTTCAGGAAGACGCACCAACCACTTTTGAGATGGCTCCCTGTTGAAATTCATAGCCAAGTGTGGCGTCATAAACCCTCCTTTAGACACGCTCGAAGTATTAAACACGGGCGCTTCCCAAATTCTTAGCAACCATCCAAAAACCGGATTGACAATTCTTGCTCCAGCCCAACATCCAAGATACATGTGGTCCCTAAAAGGCCCAAATTGGCCACGGCCAAAATCTGTTCTCGCAACGGACCTGCGAAGATGAGTGAGTCCCGTCTTTTCGGTTGGAAAATCCCGCATTTGTGCCCCATGTCACGCCCAAATTGACCAGCACATCACTTCACATGCGCAGCCCCGCCCCCGGACTCCCCACTCGAACCTCGATGCTGCCGTCTACTGCGCGCAGGCTCGGCATGCCTGGCATAGCGGCATACCCGAATCAACTTGAAAGCAATTGAACAAAGACAACTCAATCTTGCATATTTCAGCAGGAAATGATGGAAACCCCAACCACAAGGCAAGTTCTCAGGTGGGCAACCCACCTGAGGATGGGAGAAGGCACAAAAGCCGGGCCGTAGTTTCTAACTGGGCCTGGGGGGTACCTCCGAACTGGTTTGGTTCTTTCCCTTGAGCTCTCCTGGGTGACACGCCTTAAACGTAGCCTCGCCTGCGCGCACGCTAAGCCCGGAATTCCAAGGGCCGACTCCAGATCTAAGCAGAACTGGTAGAGTTTGATCCCCTGGTGGGGGTTCAGAGCACTGGACGGAAAACCGGCCCCTTACAATCCGGAGTGTTGCGGTACTTACCACTCTGGCTCAGGGACCAACGAGTGATTTGTCACAAATCCTTTGAGCTCACTTTACTATGGTAAGCTCGCCGATTCGCCATAAACCAGAACAAACAAATACGCTGTTCTCAATTGTTCTTTAATGATCTTTAGCGAACCCTGGCAAATGATTGTAGGCTGGGGCCACCCCGACCCACAGTCGCAAACCGACGGTTTCTACCACGTTCCGTGTGGAAAAAACAACATGGCAACGGGCATGGATACTGCAGCTTCCAGATTCGTCCGCGCTAAGCCGGTTCCGCACCATGAATCCTCAAAAGGAGCATGCGAGCGATGCTCGTGCAAGAACCAAAGGTGCACCAGGTGTGTCAGCTGCGCAGGACCCAAAATCCATGTTTGAACAGAACAAATTGCCCCGACGCTGACTCAGCCAGCAGCCAGTAGGCTTCGCCATGAGGGAAAGCACCGGACATCTGCCCCCTTCGTTGGGGAAAAATATACCTTCCGAAGCCTAGAGCCCCCTATTTCAAGGGTTCTAGTTTGACGTTCCCCCAAGAATGGAACATCCAGTTTGCTTTCTTTTCTGGAATCGTACCAGAAACATGCAGATTTGTCTAAGACAGAGAAACCCTCGAAATGTGTGGCTTTCCCTTGGGAATCCCCCTTTAATACCACCAAACACGTACCTTGAAAACATGTCGCTTGCAACTGGGCTCTCTTGGCTGTGTAAAACTCGCAGAGTTCCCAAAGTTCGCCAGGCGCGCGGGGCGCGCTCAGGAGCTTCTCGTTGCCGATCAGGGTGAAGTCTCGGCCGATGCGCGCCAGCGCAGGGAAGCCTGCAAAGCGGGTCTTGGAATCGGGCGTAGGTTGAATCCCCAGCATCCGCACCTCGCGGAAAGCTTCAGAATTCAGAGGACCGCCGCATTCGCCAGGTCATAAGATAGATGAGATAGATAAGGTATAAGATGGACAGATCGCAAACTAGATTAGATTCGGTTGGGTTAGATTTACATTGGATTAAATCAGACTAGATGTCATTTGATTAGACTAGACTACATTAGACAAAAAGAAAGAGTGAATCAATTAGATTGGTATTAAATTGCATTAGACTAAATTTATTTAGGTTTCACTAAACTAAATGGATTGGATTAGATTAGATTTGGTTACATTAGATTAAATTTGATTAGACTAGACTAGGCTGGATTAGATAGATAGATAGATAGATAGATAGATAGATAGATGATGGATAGATGGATAGATGGATAGATGGATAAATAGATAGATTGGTTGATTGATAAGAGAGAAAGAGAGAAAGAGAGAAAGAAAGAAAGAAAGAAAGAAAGAAAGAAAGAAAGAAAGAAAGAAAGAAAGGAAGGAAGGAAGAAGAATGAAAGGAAGGAAGAAAGAAAAGAAGGAAGGAAGAACAAAAGAAAGAACTTGTTTATTGAACTAGACAGATTAGATAGCTTAGATGGATACATAGATGGAAGATTGGATTAAATTCGATTAGGTTGGATTACATCAGATTAGATCCGATTAGATTTGATTAGACTGGACTACATAAGACAAATAGATCGACAGGATAGATTAGACTAGATTTGATTAGACTAAACTAGACCGGATTAGATAGACTAGATTAGATTACATTAGATTAAATTTGAGTGGGTTAGACTAGGATAGATAGATTACATTTGTTAGACGAGATTAAATTAGATTAGCGATTCGATTACCGTAGATGAGGCTAGACTAGACTAAATAAATTACATTCGAATAGGCCAGAGTTGAAAAGATAAATTAGATTGGCCAAGAGTAGACAGACTAGATTGTGTAGATTACATTTTGGGATAGATTGCATTAGATGAGTTTTGATTAGACTAGACTAGATTATATAGATTACATTGGGATAGATTGCATTAGATGAGTTTTGATTAGACTAGATTAGATTAGATAGATTACATTAGACTAGTTTAGTTTAGATTAGGATTGATGGGATTTGACTGAGTTGGATAAGATAAATGAAGTAGACTAGGTTAGATAATCAACTAAGTTAGATAGGTTAGACTAGATTACGTAGGATTGATTGATTGATTGATTGATTGATTGATTGATTGATTGATTGATCGATTGATTGATTGATGGATGGATGGATGGATGGATGGTCTGGATGGTCTGGATGGTCTGGATGGTCTGGATGGTCTGGATGGATGCATGGATGCATAGATGCATGGATGCATGGATGCATGGATGCATGGATGCATGGATGCATGGATGCATGGATGCATGGATGGGATTAGATCGATAGCTACATAAATTGGATTGGACTAGATGGGTATAACGATATAAACATAGGCAAAATAGAAAGCATAAGAGGAAGCGAAAGAGAGGGAAGGAAAACAAGAAAGAAGATAAAGACGGGACAAAGAAATAAGCAAGACACAAATAAAAGACAAAGAGACAAATACACATATATATATATATATAGCTCTAGTTCTTATATTTTCTGAAACTTCCACTCATCGGCTTCGCCGGCGCTACTGGTATACTAATGGCACCCTCAAAACCCACACCAGGACAATGGTGTTGATAGTTTGAGGGTACCCTTTCACACACGAACATGGAACGCAAAGGACTCCGCAAAAAAAGTGGCCTCCCAAGCACCTCCCATTCGGGGTCCACTTTGGTGGGAAAGAGGGCGCTCCATTGTGGACGGTGTTAGAAAAACCTGAAGGAAACCCACCAACGCATTCGAAGGGAACCCAAATGACATGGCGCCAAAAGCAAAAGTGAATACAAGGCCTCCCTGCAACCCGCATAGTACGGCTAGATTTGGTGAATATTCGATGGGTCCAACTTTCTGCGTTTGTAAGGTGGCAAGAAACCCGCCCAAAGAACCCCCAACCTGCACATCGAACAAATCAACGAATCAGAAAAACAAATGCGCTGCAAGAAAGCCATTGCCATCGGTTGCAGCAGCGTCAAGGCCAATGTTCACCTTCAGATGCTTGGCGTAGGCGCCGCCAAAGCCAACTCGTCGCAATGGAAACAGAACAACCAACGTAATTCACACGAATGCTCACCATCACGAAAGCTCACCAATTGGTCACTTCCATCCCAGAGGGCCCTTTATCCAACTAGTTAGGTGGTGGGGGTTGCTCACACTAGCTCGGCGACCGCATTGCGCAGTGAAGCAGAAAAAGCCTGGCCCTCGGACATGTCCAAACGGATGAAGTGCCCACTCCGAATCTGCACTAGTCAAAGGCAAAACCTGAAAATCAAGAGGGAAATGCGTGAACCCGGAGAAGTCATCGCCTCGAGCCTAGCTTCCACCTGGTTTCTCGTGTTCTTGCGGTGCGCCAGGCAGCAAGAGATGCGAAAAAGCAAGGTCCCTCGCGTTCGCCCGCCGGCCTGTGATGCTCACCAGGGCGGTGTTGTGGAGGATCTTCAGGCTCCTGCGCTGGATTCGGGACATGCCTTTCACGAGACGTGGGGTTGTCGGCCTCAGATCTTGTCCAACTTAGTCCCCTAAACCCTCCCCACAAGTGATCTCAAGAAAAATGCTCACCTAAAGGAACCCAGCACAACCAAAAGAACATATGTTTGATTCTGGCCCAGATGTAGAGAAGCTTGAATCGTGTAGGACAAGGAAACACAAAATGCGATCACAGACGTGGAGTTCTTCAAAGGAGTGGCGGGGGCGGGCTCGTTCAGGATCCCCCCACCCAAACCTGACTAAATCGGCCCCTAAAAGAAGCCACCGAAGCTTAGTTCTGCTAGCAGAGGGAGCTTTTGAACAGTTCTTGGAGGAGCTTCCCGTCCTGGGAAGCACCATCACGTAGGGAAAGAAAACGATTTTGCCTGTTGCACTCCCGTGATTTGATCCATGATCATCAACTGATTGAGTGGACATTGCTGGTTTATACCAAGGCAAACGTGCGCGTGGCTCGGGGGGGGAGAAAAAATAAAAAACATTCCGAAAACCACGACCGTTGAGGGGCACCGATCCTCTCTGGCAACAGGGCGCCATATATCGAGTCATGGCCCATGTGAAGCAAACATTTCGGGGCCGATCCCTGGCCGCCAGGTCTGCGCCAAAAAAAGGGCACCGCACTTGGACCAGCTGCAAGGCTGTGAAAAAGTGTTGGGTGTGAAGTGGGACGACCGGGATGCCTGCCCTCACTCAGGGCATGGGACAAATCCGATTCCAAAAAAAAAGGTCCACTAGAGTCCGCATGGGCTGTACCAACCCCGGCTGAATGAAAGGGATGCCCACTTCCTCAGCATCATTGAAAAACAATGTCCCGCTTGGCCACGCTGAAGTGCCCTGCAAAAAAGTGTTTTTCTGCCGCCGGCCACGCTTGTTTTGTCGCACCGTTGTAATGCAAATTGTGATGTTGACTTAAAAACGATGTGTCTGGAGCAGGCCGCAAGACGTGTCCAATCGGAGTGCGGTGCAACTGGCTGATCTTTGACCGCGCCCCACCTGCCCACCACCTCGAGCTGCGTGAAGCCCGGCATGTCGCCTAAAGGTTTTCGAGGAACAGCGCGCGGATTCGAAATCCACAGACGCCATGGTTCAGGGCGCGCACACGCACGACAGGCAAAAAGAAAACACAAAAATCGCTTGGGGCAGCTAGAGCTGCAGTGGTGCAATGGCACGTGCCATCCAAAGGTTTACGCTCCTTCACATGAGTCAGCTCGTTTCGCATCACAATGGAAGGTTGGCTATGTCGACTCTGGGGGATAAACAGACCAAAAAAAATAAGAAGAAGAAAAAAAGAAAAAAACGGCTCACGCACCAGCATTGAAATTTCATCCAACAAGACAAAGGGTATGGCCCCAATATGTTAGGGCCAAGCCAAATTTGCCGCTATGCTCAGCCCCCTTCAAAGCACAAGACCTCTTAGGGTTCCTCACTTGCCCAAAAGGATCCTGGAATAAAAGAATGACCTTTTGGGGCCATGACCAAAAATAGACCAAACCAAGGATCAGCTTTGGACAAGCGAGCTCAGGGTCTGGGGGTCCTAATGCCTCTAAAGTTGAAAATCGCTGGAGATTGCACACGCTTGGCAAATTTGCCACGGGATCCCAAGCAACCCACCCCAAGTCCGCCCCGCACCTTTCACCCTCCAAAGTCTAAGAATATGCTCTCTTTCTTTTTTCCTTGGGGGTGGGAGGGAGCGCCTATGATACTTGGGGCAGCGTTTGGCAAACGTCAGGTCGTGCTTGCAAGCCTAAATGCTGCGAGCCGGCAGGGCAGCCGATTGCCAAGAAGGTCCCCTCTGTCACCTCCTTGGGTGTGTCTTGCTTTGAGGGTACCTGTGTGATTCCCCTAGGGCAGTAGCTGAAGGGCGGACCCCGTTTGAGGGGGGAAACGCATCAGGTCCCGTGCCTCGTTTCCCTTTCGTTCCCTTTGACCCCACCTAACAAAGGGGTGCCCACAAAAAGACACACCCTCACTTCCCTTGAATCTCACTTCCGCCTTCGGACCTGCGGCCTCGCATGGTTGGAGGTGACCATTTCCCCCTCAAAAATGGACCCTGTGAGTGGGTTCAGCGGCTAGGCGAAGGTGTAAGCCAGCCGTTCCAAGTTAAGACCTGCACCCGGATACTTCACCCTTGTGGATGGATAAGGGGGTCTTCCCCCCTAATTCCGTCCAAATTGGAATAAGCCCCACAAGAAAAGACAAGCTGAAAAACTGGCGTCATCTGACATCCTCAAGCTTCCCCTCTTGTCTGGTGGTCGTTGAAGGGCAAACGCCACATCATTTTCCCACTAAAACCGCCCATCCCGCCACCTAGGAGACCCTTTTACTCCCCAACCCAGGCGCTCAGGGAGGGGTTGAACATGATGTTCATGGTGCCCCCGATGACGCGGATGTTCGAGAGCCCGGAGATGTCTCGCAGCCGCTCGTTCCAGCGGATCTCCACATTGCCCCCTGGCAGAAGAGGCTGCAGCACCGCCGAGAACGTCAAGTGGGTTTTGGGGGGTTTGGGGGGGGGTGAAATGGGGAGTCTGTCTCAAAAACTTGAAAGTGCCCACACACTCTTGACCTCTGAGTGAAGGCATTGAAGGCCCACGCCCCTTTTGGCCTCCTTTGAGAAATGGGAATTCACGATCTCAGCTGTTTTTCCCTAGGGCCGTTTGCAGCTCTCTGCCTTCCCTGTAGGTAAATGATCCCCCTTTTCCCAAGTGGCGTGTGTGTGTAACCAATATGACTTTGCATCCACGGAATCCCCTCAGATGTTGGCATCTAATTGAAAGTATCCTGCCCGCTCAACCCTTTCAAAGCCGGCCATCTATCTGCATCTGCTTGCAGAACAAGCTCTTCGTTGCGCTGCTTCGTGGCTTGGTGCGAACCCGGCCTACACTTTCCAGACCAGCGAGCAAGTCCAAATTCCTGGGCTGATGCGGCAGGAAATCCGGCCTCTTCCCAGAAACAGCTGAGGGAGGAAGATCCCCGATCAATGGAGCACCCTGTCTGACGAATATGCACAGGCACGTGTCCAAATTGGACCCACGTGTGGCTTTCCTTTGATGCTCCTTCAAGCCAACCTTGAAACAAATACCCTCAAGAACATAAGCCCACAAAAAAAAAACAAAAAACAAACAAACACATCCGCTGCGCCCACTGCACACCATGCTGAAAGCTTGGAGGCCGGAAGCTCAGGCAAGAGGCGTAAGAAACCAGTCGTCTGTGACGATGAGGTCAGCCTCCGCTCATGGCGCTCAAGGAGACGCTTTTCCAATGACACCAAGGGGTCAAGCCCTGCATGACATACTCAAAGAATGTGGCACACCACGCAAGCAGGAAGTCAAAACGGAAGCCGTGTCCGGGCATGGGAAGCGACCGGCAGTCGACCCTTTTCAGGGCTCCAGGCTGAGACGTGGCGGATGCTGAGGAGCTCCTGCGGTTTTTTTCCCAACGCGGGAGTTTGCAAATAAGCTCAGTTGAGCGGATTGGGCCAAGAGAACTGTATGCCAAGCCGTGTTGTTCCCTTTCGGGACCACTTTCCAACATGCCCAGAGATCTTGGTGCCGCTGTTGGGACCAGAAAGTTGTCTTGCCATTAGGCCATTCTTGAAACGAAAAATGGAATGCGCACAAAGGTGACACTTGTAGTCTGCGGGCTCCAAACCGAATGGGACACCCTATTCATCGCCAGGGTCAAGATGAATATGCAAACGGGAATTTAAATATATAATGATCGAAGGAGTGCAACTGAGGATGCATGCTAGAATGGGATCCAATGCATTTTCCCATCAATCCAACTCTGTAAGTCGAAAGGATCCTCTACACTTCCAGTATGTTCCGGGGTAGGTGCTCCTGATGTGTTTCCAAATGCAAATCCTGACAAGAAACTTGATGAGCGCAGACTAAGCCGGACGAGCAAAGCAAAGTGCCTACGGGGCGATGCGAGTCTGTTTTGATTTGCAAGTTTGCAACTTTCACGGGTTCCGTGACCGCAACCTTGTCCAAAACCATTTTCCTCAGCGACCTTCTGCCAGCTTCCATGAATTGCTGTCGTAGATTTTCGGGCCCGAACAGCGGGTGGATAAGTTGGGGTGAGACCCATTGACCTGGTAAACCGGTGTGGCATGCTTCAGGGTTGCTTCCGGGCACTCCTTTGGCACCAGAATCTCAGAACAGTGTGGAAAGCCCCCTTTCTTCGAAAGTAAATATGGGACCCTGCCCCAAAAAATGAAGATGGGGGGAAGCATTTTCCCTGTTTGGGCCTTGCGTTTCGCTCTTGGCGGGAAGGGTCTGCCCTCAACCTGCCGAAGTTGACTTGGCATACCCAACCAGCTGGCACTCGGAATGTTCAACGAAGCGGGGTCACAGAAAGCCGCCGCTGTGCCAACTTGCGCTTGCCCAGGCAAGCGAAGCTGTGGCTTTCGCTTGTGCCGCTGCATTCGCCTAGTTGGTGAATGTGAGGGGCGTCTTCCCCATTGGCTGGGGGAAAGGAGCTCTGGTTCAAATCCCCAACCAATCCAAGCCACCAAATAAGGAACTAAGGGTCCCCCCCCCCCAAAAAAAAAAACACGATGCAAAAGATGGCAAGGACCGTCACATGAAACAGATTTCTGTCTTCCTGTTTCCTTTCAACCAACCCTGGGTGTGTCTACTTTAGCGGACCCCCCCCCCCCAAAAAAAAAAGGAGAGGTAAAAGTTGGTCCCTAAAAACCTCAAAAAAAAGGCACCAACTTCCTGGAGAAGACGCGGAACCCAACAAACCCCCGAGGAACACGTCAAGTCTCCGAAACCTCGGCAGGGCCGGCCGGTTGGAGGCTCGCTCCTCCTCCGTGATCCGCTCCCCGAAGTGCAGCGCGCCGCCGGAGGTGAGGATCAGCTCCGGGGCCAAGAGCCGCCAACCGAAGCAGGTCCTCCGCTCGGAGCGAACGGACCTGGAAAGGGGTGTGACCTGGGTGTCTCTCAAAACAGGGAATCGGACGCCCCCGTTTTTGGGATAAAGGTTTAAAAGAAAGGAAAGCAAAGGGGAGGCGTTGTATTCCTTTAACCTACAAAAAAAAGGTGACTTTGAAGATTGTACAATCACAGGGCCAGTCTGCAACCAGTTTGGACCTGGAGAAAGGCGATCCAGTTGCGATCCTAAAAATCGGAAATCGGAAAACCCGAAAGGAGAAAAGGACGACACCTTTTGAGGTTTGGTTAGCATCCTCCAAGAACCTTCTGGTGGGTTCCATGTGGGTTTCCCTGCAAAACCCACGAGGAAAACATCACGCGAGCATTCACTGCGAATAGGCCCAAACGGTGATGAGCTTAACACCCTGAAAAAGGGGAAATGTAGCCTGCAAACGGTTGCCGGCCATCTTCCTTTTAGTGCCTTCATGTTGCCCCGTGATCCTCTTTTCCAAACTTCCTTGGCTGCATGGACAAAATCCGGCAGCTTCAAAAGCCTCTGGTTGGACTTCCCTGGCCGGCAGGTTTGGAGTGGCTAGGTTTTTGGTGACATCCGGCCTCCACAACGTCAGATGTGACAGACAGCTGTGACAGAGCCTGTGACAGACAGCCACGGAGCCTGTGACAGGCCGATGCGACAGACGGCTGAGCTTGACAAACAACTGTGACAAACAGCTGAAGACTGAGGCGGCTGGGCCAGGCTCCGGCCGCGACAGCCTACAGCCTAAGGTCAAAGCAGCCCGGGTGTTTCTGGCTCAATCGTCCAGATACGGCACAAACAAGAATCGACGTGAAGTGCCTATCACAATCGCCCAACGGGGTCCTCAAGGAGCGCCTACCAGAATGCAAAAGCAGATGGCGGACAGTGTTCAACCACATAACGGGCTGTTTGGCAATGACGAAGGGGTTCCCCCCCAACCCCCCCCCCAAAAAAAAAAAAAACAGAGCACCACCAACAACGCATTCTGCCACGCAGCAGGTTGAGAGTGGAGTTGGTCTTGGGCAGCTGGGGCAGCTCCAGCGCGGGCTCCAACACTCCGGGTGTGAGCTGATCAAAACTCTGGGCGGCGGCTAAGGAGAACGCCAGGAGAAGCCTCGGACACAGCCGAAAGTCGTCACGAGAGAATGACCTGGGTGTGTTGTTTTTTGCGGGGACTCCCCAAAATGGGTGGGTTCCTTTAGGTGTCCTGAAAAAAAGACGAAAAGGGGGGGGTCGCCCAAAACCAGGCACACCCACATCCGGAGGCACTTTCAATCATGTCGTAAACCTTCGTGGATCTTCGGCTGATCCAGGCTCCAATAAAAATTCCCCCGGCGAGGTCTTACGGGAACCCACGGGCCGAAGCTGGCCTCTGATCCAATCAAGCAGCGATCTAGCTTGTAAACACGGCCACATCTTGAACCTTGCTGGGGAAATGAATCAGGATGACAGGAATCAAGATGTGTCTTGATGACATTCATTTCCCCTTCATCTTGAGTAAAACAGTCTATGCCATTTCCCCTTCAGCCAGAACGTCCAAACCTCGTGCCATGGAACCCCATGATCCAGCCCTCGAAGGCTCAATGCATCACTGAAAACTGGTGGCATGCCGTTCCTTGCTTTCAGAAGGCGGTGGTCTTCACTCCGGCCTTCTTAGAGGCCTGCCTTGCACATGCCAAAATGGGGAGGCTCCAAGACAATCTGAAACCCAAATGTGGCTTCCTGTTGGCCTGTTGGCAATTTTTTTGACATCACTGGGAAGGGCCCAACCCAATCTGTTCAGAATGGGATTCCCCAACTGAAAGAAACTTAGGGTGCATTGCCGAAAAGGTGCACAAGCCTCGAAGCGCATCCGAGGGGCCATGCTGAGGCCATGAGCCCATCGCAGGCCAAGCGAGAATTCGCCGGACGAGTCACACCCACAGATTGCCCGTGATCTTGCTGTGCTATGTATGAGGTGATATTCGCTTCAACAAAAGAAAAAAGAAAGTGTCACGCCTATGCGGCTTCGGGACATGCGCAACATCTGCTCGATCCCTGAGTTTTCAGCACCCCAGCCGACTCTTGCGGCGAGAGCCCTGGCCAGGCGCTTTTCGCGCTCCAGGCGAGGCCGGTCTTCAGCCGCGCGGTCTTCAGCTGTCCGGCGGGCAAGTTGGGTAGGTTGAATTGGAGACTCTTCGGTTGGCATGATTTCCACTGACTTATTTTAAAACCTTTTAGAGGGTGGCCAACATCACTGGAAACAAAGCCAAAGCCCCTGTGCTGTGCCTTGGCTTTTTTGGGCCGGAACCAATCCGTGTGAGTCTGGCGTTCCGGCCGAAAGGGCGCGAGAAAGGCGAGCCGGGCGCATCTAAGGCGAGGTTCCCACTGGGTGCCGGCGGCTTATTGCGCCTTTGGACAAAGCTGGCAAGTTTCACAAGTTCTTCACCTTGCAATCCAAAATGACACCTAAAACAATGAAAGCTTGTTGAAGGACAATCGAAACACCATTTTGGGGTCCCCAAAACAAGACACGCCCAAATGCAACAAACAGAGGGACCTGCAGACCGCACTTCGCGGCCCATGCGGAGACCGGTTGAAACCGTGGCTCCAACGGCCTGCCGTTTCGGTCTCCCATTGCATGGTAATGGTCGAAACGGGCGATGGTGCAAACCCAAAAAGAGTTTAACGGGTGCCCGGATGTGGTTATTTGGATTGGCGGTTTGGAGGTGAAGGGGTGGTTTCCCGTGTAGATCAAGGTCGTCCAATCTTCAACCACCAATCCACACCAAGCATAGCCTCCCATAAACCAAAAACCACCCGTCTGCCTAGCCCCGCGGAAAATCCGAATGATCCACCCTACATCGTGATGGCTTTCTGGTTGTCCGCTCTTGCAACAAAGGGGAACCAAACATCTCCCTTTTTCCGACCCCAGGAAAGGTTCACAGAGCCTTCTTAGGTGGGGTTCTTGCAGTTTAGAACCCTTCTGCGGGTGGGGCGCTGATGTGTCTCATAGTGTCTCTCATGAAAGCCCAGAATTTGGACGTCAATGGAGCCCTAGTTGCCCCTAATCCTCTTTGGCGTTTGACTGCAACTAGGCACCAAGGGGACATTCCAATTGCCCCCAGAAACCAAACAAGGAGACTACTTCGCGCCGAGATCAACCGTCAGGACTGTCAACTCATCCCTCCACCCCATAACAACCAAGAATGGGCTTCCATACGTTAACTGTCAACATCTGTCAACTGTCAACTCACCCGCCCTCCACCCCACAACAACAAAGAAATCAACCAAGCCAACCTTGGGCTTCCATGCGTCAGCGTACAGGAAAAACCAGGCCCTGGTTGAATAGCGCCCACCCAGCTGACCCGAACCTGAACTGCGTCGCCCTGGCCTGCTGGTCCGTACAGGACAGCTTGCACTGCGCACTCCAAGTGCTCGGGTCCCGCGGGTCCTGCGTTCTCCATGGCTTAGTGGGGTTCAATCAGCGGATGCAACTTGGGACGTTGCTCAAGGGAAACCGCCTTAAAATCAGTTTGAGTCCTTGGTTTTGACATATACTTTTTCTCCGAGACCCAGCAAGGCCTCGAATGGCAATTGCAGCAGGCTCCTCGTTCCACTTGATCGATATTCAGGGATCATCTGGAGCAAGGGCCCGCATGTTCAGCTGACTGAAGGACAGCTCAGTAAGAGTTGCAGCCCTCCAAGGAAGACTTCTCTCATTGTTGAAAGGCGCACGGAAAGCCCAAATGACCATGGTGAGCTTCCAAAAAGTCAACAAGGTCAAGCCAAGTCTCACAAGTCACAATGAGACTTGGCTTGCATAGGGGGTTTGCAAGTCTGTGCATTTAGAGAATGAGATATGCGCCTCTCAAGTTTTACCCCCCCCCCCCCCCTTCCCGCATTTACGGCCGCTCTACGGGCATCGAACCGAACCCCGCCGCCCGCGAAGCACCAGAATCCGTTGGCACAAATAGAAAACACACATCTTGGTTGCTGGTGACCCCCCTGCAAAAAGTTTAACTTGTTGGAGGTTTGGTGGAAAACACCTTATTTCCCAAAAAGTTAAAGTCGAAAGATCCAACATGATCCAACCCAATAGCAGTCAAGACATTGAGGAGATAAGTCATCGACCTGGGCATAGCCAGCGGCAGTTCTCTCAGCTGGCATCCTCCGGGCACGCCGCCAGGCCTTCGGAGGCATTCCACTCCTGTGCCCGGCCGGGCGAAGGTTGGGTCTTTAGATGGTACCCTCCCAAGGAACTTAGGAGCCCGCAGCCGCGGAGAAAAAATGAGAAAAAGAAAGGACCGGTCGGGATATCAGAAAACTGGCCGATCTGCGCAACTCCCGCGGTCCCAAACCAAAGAGGGCCCCGCACACTAGTTGCTTTGCTCTGTGTTCCCTCTAAGCACTACGTGCAACTATCTAAAACGGGGTCCCAAATTGTTTGACACCTCCGTTTAGAAGGATCCCATCCTTTGACTGGTCTCTACGGGGCATCTGCAGGGAGTGGCCCATCAAAGCCCATCAAAGCTATGCTGAGGTAAGAGTTCATTCCGTCACCTCACGTAATAGAAGCCCCAACGTCCTGTTGCTCTTAAGCAACTAAGGCCCAATCTCACTCCGAACGAGGGCTAGCAGCTAGAGTCTAGAGAGCCTGGTGATGTTTGATAGGGTGCTACTTGAAGCCAGATTCGAGTGGGATTCCACCAGCGGGGGTGGGTCTTAGCAACAAGCAAGATTACGTTCATAGGCGCCTGGAAAGCATGTCTGAAAGCGAACTTGTATCAACCAGGGGCCCCTCTTAAACATAGAGGGAACCAAGTGGTTTGGAGTCAGACCCTGCGATAGAAGATGCGTTCAGCTGTTTTGTATTGGAAGTCGCCACCCCATCTCCCATTCATGGGGCCTTCCGCATTGGCAATCCCTTCCAATCGTGCAGTGGGCAGGCGGGCGCTGGCAGACTCCTATCCTTTCGAAACGGGCCTTGTGCAACTCCATGGGTTTTCTGGAGGGATGGGCTGAGATGGCTGAGCGCCCCCGCGGGGCGGAAGCACTTCTTGGCGAAGGGGTCGCAAACCAGCCGGGTGCTGGTCTTGTCATCAAACCTCAGGCCGAGGCCGGGGGGCCCTTCCAGCAGTTGGTTCTACCAGCATACCCGAAATTCCCAAGGTTGAAATGCCCCAGCCTCTCCCAACAAAAAAAGCTCCACCGGTTTATGAGGGGCGAATGGTCAACCAAGAATTGGACATGTGGTAGAGGCCGCGTGCAAGAAGCTAAGAAAACCCTGAAAAGCCATGTGCACCGCCTGATATCTTCCTGGACCTGCTCACCTTGCCCCGGCATCAGGAGCCCGGCGGGCAAAGGTCGTTGTGCACGCAGCGGTCACAAACCTGGCGGGGCGTCTCCATGCCCAAAGCAAAGCCGTTGGCTACTTCATGGCGCGCCAACATAAACCAAGGTCCACCCACCACCACTCTTGAGGTGGTTCTGTATTCAATTTCATACCCACATGCCCTTTGCATTTGGCCAAGGGCACCTTTTGTACTTTGCGCCTTGGGGAACAGCATCTGCCTTGAAAAGGTGTCCAAGCCATTCACGAACCAAGCAAGTTGATGGATGGATGGATGGATGGATGGATGGATGGATGGATGGATGGATGGATGGATGGATGGATGGATGGATGGATGGATGGATGGATGGATACATAAATGGATGGATGGATGGATGGACGGACGGACGGACGGATGGATGGATGGATGGAAGGATGGAAGGAAGGATGAAAGGATGGATGAAAGGATGGAAGGATGATGGAAGGATGGAAGGAAGGATGGATAGATAGATTGATGGACGGACGGACGAACGGATGGAGCAATTGATCGATCGAACGATTGCAATTGATTGAGCAAAAATGCTAGTCGCTGCAAGAATGTGTCAGATATGTTTGTTTGTCACATGCCTCCTGCTGGCACTCAAAACCAGCACAATGCGTCCAAACCCTGAGATGAGATATCCCCAAAGTGTGAAAGCCCTACAAATAAATAGGCTTGGTTGACGTTGCAAGGGGACCAAGGATTTAAATTTCAGCAGTTAAGTGGTTGGATTTCAACCACCAAACCACAATAAGCAAGAATGTAAAATGTTTCCCAGCGGCCGTGTAGGCGCGTTCTTCCAGGCCGCTGCCTTGAGCCCTGCCTGCAGGCTGCCTTGCTCCACCTCCGGGCAGGCCGCGCTGGGCGCGGCGGCGGCCACCGCAGCCCAAGTCAGCAGGAGCACCGCCCGCGCCATGCGGATCGAAGCGCCGCGGGGGGGGGGGGGAGATGGGAGACCTGCCGAACTGCGTTTTGCTTCAAGCTGGTTTAGAGTCAAAAGGGGGAAACGCAAGGAAACTGCGACTTTCAGCTCTATGGTCTTCAAACATGTTCAGAGCCTGGACATGTGAATAAACATTGGGGCTCGCAGCCTACATCTTCAGCAAGTCCCCGGCTTTTGCGCAACACCTTCAACTCGACAAGTGGCTGGATGCTGCGGTAGGACAGTATGCCGTAGCCGTATGCCCAAGCATCTGCAAGGGCTTAGAGCTCATGTGGGCATACCCTCCGACACAAAGCCGTCCGCTTATCTTGCAGTCCTATTGGCGCTGAATCTGGGCAATCTACGCCGTCATGTGGGGCACGTCCAAGGCCCTTGCAGGTGAGACATAGCGGCTGAGATGGCAAGCAGCGAATCAGCGAATCGCCTAGCCAGTTGCCCAGTGACCCTGGTAGACAAGGGAGCCCAAAACACGGAGAAAGGGAGCAAACAAACTGCACGTGCGAGACGATTCCTCAAGCTGCAAAAGTTGTCGCTCCGCATTGTTGGCTTTGCACCATGGCTATCTTATCTACTCCCTAGTGTCCACCAAAAAATAGGGACCCTAAGAAAAAATCCTTGGGGCTTTGGATGCCCAAACGATCAGATTTCACGGACCGGCGGGGTTCCAGCCTTTATCTGGACACAGATTGCAAGCTGAACGCGCTGGGGAACAACAAGGTTGACCAGCATCACCGCCTGCATGGCGTTTCGCAAAGTCTCATGCCTACCCTTGGCAGATGGAAAGCAGCAAACAATAGTCGGCAAGGGAAACAAAGCCACAACGCTGCAGGGTCACTTGTGGCACACCAGCCGGTTGTTCTCGTCCATCTGCTTGAGGTGCCAACAAACAAAGAATGCGTGCCATCGCTGCTCAAGTAAACGGACATGGCCAGTACTGGCCATACTTGTGAGCAAGCGGGAACAAAAAGAGGAAGCGGACTCTGTGTGTGCAATCTAGTTCTCCCATCTTCCTGAGCAAGTGCTTGCAGTGTTGACACGCGATCTCTGCTACAGCACGGTTTCATAGATGTTCCTGGTCACTTTTTGAAGTCTCCTTGCGGAGACCAAGAAAAAGGGGAGCCCGGAAGGCCTGTTGTTACAAGCCTGTTTACAGCGGTAAAGTGCATCAACTTTTAGGTTGTCTTAAGCTGGTCCTTCCTTCCATCCCTGCCGCCAAGCCCCTAGTCACGCACTATCTGCGCGTACGTCACACGCCAGCGCTTGGTTCAGGGCAACATGCAGGTGTGCGCAGGCGACTTGGTCCCATGGAGGGCGCCTTCCTTCCTCCCTGCTGCCCAGGTTTCATTCATGCACCAGCCCCGCGCGCAGTGTACATGTCGGCTACCGCCTCTTCTGGCGATTGCAAAGGTTTTTTTCGGGCAAGCCAGAGTTGATCATTCGCTCAAGTTCGTCACAGGCCTGGAGAAGAGTCCGCAAACTTTCTCAAGCCGGGCTGTCAAAAAACCAGAGGAAATCACACGCGAAGGAAAGACCAAGAGCTGAATTCGGCAGGAATAAACAGAAGTCCTCCATCGACATCGCACAAGTCTGTTGTGACCCGGAGATCCAAGAAGTCGCTAGGCTCTCCCCACCAAAGAAGAAGCAAAACCAACAAATGCGCCCTTACACTACCCCAAGCCCAACAAATGCCCTCCGAAACTGAGACAGCGCCCGGTACCCAGCACACGTTAACCTGGCGAGGTGCTCTAAACCGGCATGACACAGGAAAGGGCGGATGGGAGTGGGCAGTTCGGATTAGCCACTGTTGCTGAGAGCAATCTCTTATCCTGTCCGCTGTCTGTGGGATTCTTCTCTCCCTTCCTGGGGCTCCCTCCATTCCATCTGACATCCTGTGTTGGTCCGGGACTCCTGGAGTGTTTGATGGGCGGTTGGATTTGGACCTCTGGCATTCCTTCATCACCGCAAACACCTGTGGGGGGACCCTGCCAAGCTCTTTGGCCAGGCGTTGCTCGATGAAGCACATCTACCTCAATCACGGAGCCTGTCACGAGAACCTTATCCACAATGACAAGCAGACCAGCAGTACCATAACAACGGGTCGGCAGCCGATGCTCCCAGTTGGGATGCCAAAGCAAGCAGAGGTCTCCACCTCAGGACGCTCAGCTTTCAGGCGCGGCTCTTGGAAGACGATCATCAGAAGATCAACGAGCCTTTGGCCAGTTCAAGCATAGAACAAAAGCAGCAACTGCAACATTCTCCTCTCAACCTCAGGGCACGACGTCTCATCTGAGATCTGCGACGATCAGCCACCCGGCCCACATGCCCAATCGGAATAACCCCACGCAGCCTTCTTCATTCGGACCGCATCCTCCCAATGAGGGGCAACTGCCAACTGCCTGACATTGAGCGCTCGACGCACAATGTGTGAGGGCACCACCTTGGTGCCATGACTATTTCTCCTTGTGGCCTGGGCATTGGTTTTCACTCACTTTTGTTCGGCCCCCTGAAACAGAATACCAGCCGTTGCGGGTCCAAGCAGTTGCCTTTGACCACCCCTCAAGTTCAGGATCAGGGCAAAGAACGACGACAAGTGCATGGCTTAACCGTCCTCGGTTTGTTCTTGTAAGATCATTTTCCGCGCGAAAAGCAGCAAGTTGGGATAGCCTGAGTCCGTCGTGTTTTTTTTGGTAAAGGGCGCTTCTCAGCAACGTCCTTACTTGCGGCAAGAAGCAATGCCCGAGCATGGTTGCAGAGGGCTTGGGCCAGGGAACATATCCCAAAGTATTCCCACGGGAAACTGCAATGAGGCCATTGCAACTAAGGGGGGCAGCGGCAGTGGCGGAGGAACTGCCGAGAATCCTTGCTTGACAGATTTGAGCTGCACGTAGCCACATGCGGGTCCGCATCCTGACATGCAGGCAACCAGATTGAAGCCCCAAGAGCAATGTTCTGGTTGCAATGGTGTACTACGCTGGAGAAGGTTGCGCTGGTGCGAGCAACTGATTGAAATTTGATAGCTGCATCTATGCTGACCGTACTGACGACAGGAAAGGCTGTGGTTGTTGGAAGCCATTACCGCGAGCAGCAATTTCAATGGCCCAACAGTCTGTAAGGCTTTTTGTGTGACGGTTAGCACATGTCGGTATCTTTTCAGTTGTAGCAAGTCAATATTGGATATGGCCTGACCTGGGCGCACATGGCCCACGAACTCGAAAATACTAGAGGAACCACAAGACAAATACAGGCATAGAAAAAAGGCAAGAAGGCATGAACATGCCTGAGAGAGAGCGAGAGAGAGAGAGAGAGAGAGAGAGAGAGAGAGAGAGAGAGAGAGCGAATGCCCAGGAAACAAGGGAGTCCAAAAGCAAAGCCGTGTGGAGTGAACAGAATGCACCCTCTAAAGAAGAGCTACATGACACATGTGCACGCAGCATGCTGAGGCTATCCAGCATCGGAGCCAAAAGGTTCGGAACTACCAGAGCGCATGGGTGCCACCGAAGTCCTGCTCATTGCAAGCTTGTTTACAGCGGTAAAGTGCATCAACGTTTACAGCCCCCTATTCACGCACTACCTGCGCGTACATCGCAATGCAAGCGCTTGGTTCAGGGCAGAATGCAGGTGTGCGCCGGCTACTTGGTCTTTCCCTGCTGCCCAGGTTTCATTCATGCACTGCCTGCGCACGCGTGCCAGTAAACAGGTGTGCGCTGGCAAGCGCGTTACATGTTAGCGTTGCCCGGGAAATTGCCCCACCTCTTCTGGCGATCCCTCGGGCATTCGCTCCCCCCCCCTCCCCCGGCCTCGGGCGCCCTTTCTGCACCACAAAACCCGTTCTGCACCACGGCCGCCCCACCCAGTCGCCCCACCCTATTCTCACCACATACAGCCTCTCACGCCCATTCTGCAAGAAACTGCCGTTCCCCCCTCTCGCGCCCATTCTGCACCACCAGCTGAATTTGGCCGCGCACAACGAAACGGAAATCCCTTCTTATCTCCGTCGTCAAAGCTTTCATTGCCCCCCGGCACCGCAGGGAACCTAATGCAGAACCCACGCATCAGACATGCTTTTGGGAATAAGGCCGCTATCAACTAAGTCACACGGCATACTTCCCCTGTCCACACATGATGCCCAGCGCTGCGACGAAAGGCAAAGATCTCCGCCTAACGTTTTCTTCCGGTGAAACGTTGCCAGAGCCTGTCGGCACAGCAAGAAACATCACTCGCGAATGGACATGGACATACTCTTGGCCTTTGGCCTTCCATGGACCCGGATATCGGATGAAGCATTTCCGCTTCCTCCTTTGGGAAGCCCGGAGGTATTCGTTCGCTGCTCACCTGGCAGGGCTAGTTGCACGATTAACATGAACAGCTGCTGGACGTTTGGAAGAACATGTCTACTTACAAACCAACGGTGCACATATGATAGGTGGATGAAAATATGTGGCTGGCAGGTTCTGGATTATTGGGCTTTTGTGCGGTGTGGTGTGCCGATAGTTGGTTGCAAAGAGTTTCGGGTAGGCTCCTAAGGCAGACTTGGAAAACAAGCATGCAAATGATCATTTGTGAAAAGAAAATTCTAGACAATGCTTCAAACTCATCATTGTCCAATCGGAAATTCGTCGTAAGGACAAGGTCCCGAGCTAGACGTTCAAGACTCGAAGCTGATCATTTTTGGATGGAAAATTAAGAGGGAAAGCTCTCGATCTGGGATTCCTACTGAACAACGCCGACTTCGGATTTGCAATCCCAAGTACAGCAGTTGCACTGTCCATGGCCGATTCATCCGTTTTGCTAACTCCGGAAGCTCCTGAACCGCTCCCTCTTTCAGGGCGACTTTGCATACCCCCAGCTCCGCAACGGCCCCCTTCCAACCACCAGCTAGTTTTGCTCCGGGAGAAAAATAAATAAGTGAACGGCTGACCCGCCGGGCAAAGGGCGCATTGGCATCCTAATTTACTCGCAGGCGGAAGCCGAACTCACTTGCCCAAAGGACTTGGAAAAGGTTGACCCTCCGTGCAGCCAAGGAGCCCGTTCGGCTCTTCGGGGTGGTCCAGTAACCTCAATCGTGGCACTTGCACGCAACCCCGCGGCCTCTTGCCAAGCGTTTGTGGGCAGAGGTCTTGGTTCATCGGGCAAAGGCGTTGGATGTGCTTTGTGGGTCTGGGGTTGCTCCACCTGCAGCGCGTTTTTTTCTTTTGTTTGGCGTCATTTGTTCGAGGACCTGAAGAAATGTTGGAATTTACTACGCTACTCACAATTGGGCAGCGTGTCTTTTTTGGGGGGGAAGGTTATGCTGATGACGTATCAGACGCCTGCGCCAGCGCCTAAGCCATGTGCATCATACCATGCGACACGGCCTACACGAGGTGTACGTGTACGTCAGCCTTAACACGCTTACGCTGTTGGAGTTTTGCTCGCAAAGTACCTACGCGGTGTTCGGTTCGTGCTAGAACGCGCGAGCTGACAACGACAGCACGCTGGCTGGCACAAACACGGTTTCCTCAGCAGCAGTCAGCGCACCTTTCGGCAACTTTGTTGGTTCTTCTTACAACCCCGCTTGGAGATTCTAGGGCGCTGTCTTGCCCCTTCTCGCAGAGGGGGGCAAGTGAAGCTTGTGGTGTGTGTGTGTGTGCAAGTGGCCAAGCACGTGTCTCACAGCTTCTCGCACGCTGCCCTGTGGACCTTTTTTGCGAGCTCTTTGTGTCTGTGACTATCAGCCAGTAGCCCCGTCCGGAGAAGTGGCAAACAACGCTTGCGTGTCAGATGCCCTGAAAAAGGCTTGTGCTTCCCACCCAAATAATCCCAAAGAATGTGTCAAGTCTAGGAAGTGGATATCTAAGATGGTGCCAGGAAGCAATACATCCCGCAACCAGCTTTCTCCAGCATCCCTGCTGAAAACAGCCACTTGGCAGGTGAATTGCTTGCAACGCCCTTAGCACCATTGAACCCATAGCACAAGGTACCGTCCCACCAACTAACGTGGACAATTTGATAGAGGGGTCCTGGAGGAGCATTGTCCTTTATAAGGGACCCCCCGTCAGGTTCCATATTCGTTGCTCCTTTGCCCCCAGATCCCCTGCTACAAGTTTAGTTTTTAGTGAATGAAATGGAAACCACCACTAAACACTGAAAGGCTAAAAAGCTAAGGAACTGGATGACTGGGAGCCACCAAAATCGGCGAGGGTACCCGAAACCCGCCCGCCGCAGGTCACGCCCACACCCTCCCCTCCTGACTCCTCCTGCCGAGCGGCACTGAGGCCAAGCCTTGCGCGCGCACCCGCTGGAAGAGCACGTTCCACCTTGGCCGCGGAACAAAGCGGGCAGGACCTCTGCGTGTCCTTGTTTGAGGCTGCGTTTTTGGGGTGGGTGTAAAAGGAAAGCAAACAAACTCTTGGAACCAATGTGAAGAAACAAAAAAAAAGCAAAATTACAAACACCCTCGTGACACGTCTTTCGCCCAGCCGCTGCTCGGGAGACAGCTTCCGTAGCTCCTTCGGGACCGGACGCCCAGCTTTCATGAATATCATGAAGATGCCTATGCAAGCGTATGCATGTACGCCGTGCGCATCAAACAACAGCTAGGTGTCTGAAAAGCATCTACGCACGCTGTATGTACATCTACACGTTGCTGTGCATGTGCATGCCTGCATGCATGTAGCTGGATGTGTTTAGCCTGGTAGTGCACAATGTTAGTTGCATGATAATGCCCTACCTCCGGCCCCTGTTTGACTCGCCTTGGTTGTAGACCCCATTTGTGAATAAGACCACCTCAGCAATCGATCGCATCACCAGCCAAAAACGGGAGTCGTGACAGGGAACTCACATGGCGCCATATGGGAGTTTCTAGGTGAGTGGATAGGCGGGGAATGACCGAGTCCAGGTGTTGGGAGTGAGTTTGGGGATTTCCTGAAGGAAACCATAGGGGATGGCTTGTATCTCATTCCCTGCCTATCGAACCAGCAAGTTACTCACAAATCGGACAACCATGGACGGCTGGCTGACGGCAGTTGGTAACAGGGGACATGAAAGGCAGCCTTGTTAGACGACTTGGTTGCAAAGATTCTAAGTTGAAGGATGTGACCGACGATGCCATGCTTGCAGGGCATGGCCCCCTGGTGTGGGGATTGAGTAGACGTAGGCCCAACGCTTGTCCCTCCGACTTCTGTTTCCTTTGTCAACCATTAAGACCTTGCAGGGCTCCCTATACGAAAAATGGCACTCACCTTGAAACCGATCCACCTGGCAGAAATAAATATATATATATATGTGTATATTATATACGGAACACGATTTTCGGAACCATCGCCCCATCCTCCAGGTCGGGCGCGTGGATCTGTGGGGCCTGCAGGCTGCTGAGCACCTGCCGGCTCTCGCGGCCCCAGAAGCGCTGGTTCACCATCAGCGAGATCCTAGCTCGAAGAGGAGGGGCCGGGTGCCTTTGGAAAACCTCGCGCGTGGCCAGTCTTTTCAACCATCGTTCTTATTCAAAAAACAGCCGTGATCCCCGGGTTTTATAGGAACAAGGATCCCTGGGAAGGTACCCCGGAGTTCCGCTCTGCTATTTTCCTCAAAGTGCCAAAAGGTCAACTCTGAGGGGAAGGGGGGTGAGAGGGTAACATGGCACCTTCGACATGTGTCATGCGCCATACATTTGCGACAATGAGAAAGAAAAGCCTATGACTACGTACTCGATGTGGACCTCAACGGACCGGAGTAACATCCGACACTGGATTCCAACAATGGCTAGGCCCACACATCATTGGTAAGCCTGACTAACAAGTAGGCCAAAAGAGGTCCAACAATTTTCGCACATTCATTGGCCAGTGGAGTATCAACAGGTGACCGCACTTGCCCTATTGAGTCCTAATCTTTGGTTCCGTCGCGATCGTTCCAAACCCCTCATTATTTCCTGTAAAGGGTCCCTGCGTGACCCTTGAAATCATGATGAGAGGACAAGACGAGGAGGACGCTGGTGATGCTGGCGATGCTGGCGATGAAGGGGTTTGTGATGTTATGTTGAAACTGCCATCAGCGCGTCGCCATGGTCTTTGAAACGCCTGGGCCCCTGGCATGATCTTCCGCTGCAGCTGGATCCACCTAGCCGTCCCCACAGGAAAAAAATAATAACGGCAAGCGACAAAGGCCGAGGGCGGTTCAACTGAGCGAGCTCGCCTGAAGCCTAGCATGGAAACAACCTGGAATCCAAAAACAGGAAACTATATAGCGGAGTTGTCCGAACATTGTTCCAAAAGAAGCCATAGGAAGTGGGAAGGAGCCCGGCTCCAAACCTGCTTCACGCACCAAACACGGACCAAACCAGGACCTCCCAATCGCGAGGGGGCCCTTTGCTCCCCCCTTCCTCCCATTTCCTCCCTCACACTCCTCCCCAGATTTTAACACAAGCAGTTGAGAGTCCAAGTATTTAACAGCTACATCTAGCAGGTCGCCTCCCATCATCCCAAGCCAAGATCATCCAAAACCCTTGATTTCAGAATACCCGTCTGTACGTAGGAGCGGGCGTGCATCCCGGCTGATAAAAGGCAACACTACCCCTTGAAGAAATTGATAACATAATGGTGCCTAGGGGCCAATGAGATACAACGAGCATAATGTGAGAGTTGCGCGCTGCCCCAATAACGAACTTGCCCCTTTGAATCGGTTGCCTCCTCCACTGCATCCCGGCTGCCAAAGCCTGTCCATGAGGGATGGCCCTTGGATGAATTCCCACCATTTCCTTCCCCCTTCCATGTAAAATGTGCTTGTTGAGATGCACTTGCCAAGATGATCACCTACTTGGCTCATTTCAGAATGAAATGCAAGATCAGAGGTCTGCCAGAAAATAAGGAGGCTAGTTGTCCGAGGATTCCCCCTCATTTTAGAAAAGCTCCATACCTAAAAACAACTTAGATCCCGCAAACCACCAAACCCTCCACCCGGTGACCCTGGCCTATTTGCCACGTCGTGGATGGTGTCATCCTCCCCAGTGGAGAGCATCGCCCTCGGCTCTTAGGCTCTGGGCGCGCAGCGCTCGCTTGCCGCTTTCAGGACCTTGACCCCCCTAAAAAAGAGGGGACAAAATCAAACACGGGGCAAGCAGAGGCCAACAAGGTCACAAGGTCGACCTTTGAAAGATGAGGTGAAAAGGTGAAAAGCTCGGCACCCCCTTGAGCCCCTTGATTGAAATCAACTGATCTGTGTGCCAACGTCGGGTGGCGAGCAGAACCCTCCTTTGGCCACGGCCTAAGGCGACGCTGCTGACTCAGAACCTTGCCCTCCAATCTCCTGTTCGACTGGAACATCTGACCAGGGTCCGGGACGCACAGGATGCATTTGGCCCAATCCGAATTCACCAGCTGGATCCAAATCCTTGTGAGGCTCTTGGGATGCATTGGCTTTTGTTTATAGAACATTTGCCGACTTTTTGGGCTTGCCTCAACTTCCGGCCCTTGGTTTCTTCTTGGTTTCCTCTAACCGCCTTAACCAACCCAATCACCCAATAAGGGCCTCAAAACTCGTGGCACACAAAACCTCCTCGCGCGGGCTCTGAGGTCTCTGGCATCATACGGTGCAGGCACCAGGAGGTTGCACAGCGGCAGAGCAGCGACCCGAACCTCACGCCCCCACTGTCGTTTTTTGGTCGGCACGCTGGGAATTGGTGGGTTTTGTTGGACAAAGCAAAAGGAAAACATGTGTTTGTTGAGTCAGTACCTGTTTTAATGAGTTTGAAGGGGAATCAAAGGAAAATCATCAATGTTCGGGATGTGCAGTTCGGCCGATTTTGAGATCCATTCTTTTGTGGGTAGGGGGGCTGACTAAATAAGCAATAATGTGGCCGGAGACTGTGCCATCAGGAATCAGCAGCATATAAGCAAGAGAACAATGGGAAAGAGGACGGTAGGGCAAAATACCGAACATAAAATCAGGTACATGGAAACACGAAACATACCATCAGGTACCTGGAAACACGAGAAGAAACATGGTTGGTACCTATTTTGAGGGTACCTGGAATCTGCTGGATACTGCAGGGCCCCCTCCTGAATCCAATGTTCCCAAAACAAAAGGAAAAGCGGGATTGACCTTCCTAATATGCTTTTTGGGAAATCAACACATCTTCTATTTCGTCTCTCGTTACGTTGCATTGCTTTTAGTCAACGAAACAACCAAAAAACGGACGTATGCCGACATCCCAGAGCTTCCAGGGGTCCCCTATGTTTTCTCCGCCCTTCAGCAAGTTGGGGGTAAGGCCAGAGGGACTTTGACCCCCGGAGACTTTCAGGCGGGCCCCTGAACTGAAGGATCCATTCAAAGGGGCCTCCCAGTTTAGGCAACCTACGACTGCACCGCCCTCTACAAAGCCTTGCAGCGGAGGTTTGGCCACGCAGAAGCTGGATATCCCTCTCTCAGGAACATGGCTCCGGCCTTTCATTGGTCAACTTTCGGGCCCAGAGCCCCAAAAGCTTCTGGACTTCCCGTTGCGAAACAGCCACCGCCCACAAGGATACCATCCCAACCACCGAAATGGAACCTGATCCTGGAAGAGGAGTTTGTGTGATTCCCCACTCTTTTCACCCATTGTTCTCTTCAGAATCGGAAGGTGCCGCATCCATAAACCTTGCAGGTTCCATCTTCGTCACGCCCTCCCCTCACTCGCCTCAAAGAACGCCCCAAAAAAGGCCCCCACCCGTTGAGGCTGAACTTCTTGTTCTCGATGGCGGCCGCCTCTCGGGCATCCCCCGCCTCAGAGCTGGGAGCGCGGAGCGCGGGGCGCGAGGCTGCATGCGGCACGGGAGGTGTCTGCGAAGTGGTGGGTGCTGCTTTGGGCCCCGTTCAGGAGATGAACCGACATAAAGCCTAGAGGGAACCCCCAAGACTGCCGCTAACACCAAACTCTCCAAAGATTGGATGCTCCCATCCTTGAGGCTGCACCTCACCAATGCCCCACCTTCAATTGGAAACAGCATATGGCCAACCTGACTGCCTCAAATATTCCCTGTGGCTGGACTTGGCCTCTAGCCTCTCCATGATCCTCTCCTGGCTTCCTCTGAGCATTCAAAAAGTGGACTTTCTTGTGGCTGGCATTGAGAAACGCTAGCATATTTCCCCCTCCCCCCCCCAAGAAAAAAAGAGAGAGATGAAACAGCCGTGTTGTTTCCCTGCTGGTCTCCCTTTAAAAAAAAAAAAACAAGCCCATTTCGAGAAATCCCCGGGCTTGGTTTCTGTATCCAGCCCCGCCGCCAAGCTGCCGCCGAGGGGTGCGGATTCTCTGTCATGTAGCCTCAGTTTCCGCACCCGCTGTCAAACCTGGCCCTTTGGCAGACATGTCAGTGACCCCAGTAGAAAAAGGGAACTTGACTTGGCAGGGGCGGTCCTCCCACCCAGTTCCAGGAGGCGAACCCCGCTTTGAAATCAAACTATTATTCCAGGCGCTATCACAGGGGTCTCACTGCCCTGCAACCCCAACACTTCCCGTCTGAGACGGCCGCGGCTGGACAACGCAGAATTGTTCGCACGTCCGTTTGAAATAGCAACGTTGTTGCGGCGGTGACACTGAATGATGAATACACGTTATGGAAAGAAGAGGCCAAGCACAGAGCAGGAGCCATTCGCAAGAGTTGGCGTATCGGCCATGAACGTCCGAAAAAGCAAGTCTGCTACACCGGGCCGTTTTTGTTGAGAGTACCTTAGGGAAGATTAAGTGTTCGCTCGGCCGCTACGAGCTTAATCTCACAGCTCACCCTTCTTCATCTAGGGGCAGCAACAGCTTGTGGGAACGAGCCGAAGCTTGCTCCCTTGCCCCATATTTTTTTCCCTGGCTCTCCGCCAAACCTCCGTCACTCCCCAAGATGTCGCGTACTCCCAAGACCGACTCCGCCCGACCCCCGACTCGAACCGAGTCCATGGAGCTCAGCAGGCGGAAGAGGGTCTGCCGGTCCGTGGTGACCTCCATGCGCGCGAAGAGGCTCTGCACCTTTCGCACTGCCCTTCCATGGGAAAGGTTACGTACCAATTACGCAAGGGATACGAGGTTTAAACCCGGCCGTGGCGCGTGCTTATGGGAACATTGTGGGTCAAATGCGCGAAGTGTGACATTTTCATACACGGCGCAGGCTTGCGCTCAAGTGAAACAATCTGGCTCCGGAGCTCCCTTCAGCCCGAGCAGCAAATGTTGATGCGTTTGATGTGACGCTGCTGATTGGCATGCCTGGGGCCAATAGCGCGATTTTACATGCAAGCGGCAGGCAGGCATCCATACCTCCAAAACCCATACAGGGAACTGGCCACTAACAGGGCTCCTGCAGTTTTGTGGAACCAACAGGATGTTTAAAGGGGCAGGTACTTTGGCTGAAACCCCGGCGTGGGTATGGATTTTAGTGGAAGGGGCTTGGGGGGGGCGGGGGGCAGTACTTGCGTCGGCGATTCATGTCCGCTAACCAGTTGGGAGGCCATCTAATTTGCCACTAATTGCTGATGGCCAAGGAGGGCACTCGCATTCCGAGTTAGTTATTTTGATCCTGGCCCAAAATCAGGGAACGCCCCAGTGGACACTCCTTGTGACATCGCGTCTTTTTTATTGTGGGGCATTGGGAAAGACCTCTAAATAACACACCGATGTCTGCTTTTGACACACCCACACCAGGCCCTCTTGAACATTCCCCAAGCACCTGGGCCACCGGGTCTGGTCTTGGTTTAAGTGATTGTTTGGGTTGGTGAACTCGCCAAAACGGGTGTCTTGACACAGGCGGGGCCCTAAAACAGTGGATTCCCCCTTGCTTCCCTTCAAAGAACGAAAGCCAAAGGCCCGCTCCTCACTTGCTCCTCCATCCAAAAATGGTGTCTCAAAGATGAGAAGCCCCTCAAATCCCAAGTTGCCTTGCACTCCACCGACCTACACGGCCCCTCTCTCCCCCCCCCCCCTCCGCTCCCGGTCCTGGGTGATGTCCACACAGCCGAACTGGTCCGCACGCATGGAGTTGAACCAGGTCCGGAGCCGCTGGAAGCTGCCGCCTCAACCCGGCCAGACCCATGGGAGGAGTCCGGATTTCCTTCGGAAGGGTCTGGAGTGTAGCTTGACCTCAAAGGCCCCTTTCGAGGTTCCAAGACTCTTGCGGCAACCAACAAATTTGACAAACCAGCCAACCAAACTAAGCCCACCAAGACAAAAAGGCCGGGCATGCTGAAGCTGAAACGAAGCTATTGAAAGAAAAACGGTTGTTTCAACTAATGAATTAAGGATTCGGAAGCGCTGGCTACTTTTGAACGAGTCCTACAGTATGCGCTGTCTTTGAACCGGAGAAAGTGTTTCGACCGCGTTCCCTTTGAGCTTCCCTTTGAATCAACCCCCAAAAGGGGATACCAACTCCAAAGAAGACACAGGTTTCCAATTTCCAGACTCACGGACAAGCTGCCTGCTAAATCGGGGGTCTGGAATCATACAAAAATATCCCTTTTTTGTGTCCATTTGCGTGAATTCAAAAGTATGCACCATTTAGCACGCAAAACGCACCAATGGCGCAGCCGCGGGCCTGTGAGGTACTCGCACAGAAGCTCCAGTGAATCTCGGCGCACTAGCTGACGCAGCCTTAGGTGCGCAGGTGCAGCGTGCACAGGTTGGGATTTGTTGGCAACCCAATGAAAATTCAAGCACAATCTAAACTGGGTCCGAAAACTGGGCTGCCCTTCTTTGTTGGGCAAAGGGGCTCTCACCGTTTGATGGCTTCATGGAAAAGCAATTTGTTTCCAAAAAATCTGAGGGGCTAAGGTCACAAGCCATGATTACTTCGCCGTGTTGGAAGAAAATCCCAACCCGCCTAGCTCCTTGCCCTCAAACAAGACAAACCCGTATTTCACCCCTCAAAAAAGGCAAACGAGCGGATCAGTAAAATGCTCAGGAGAGCCTAACATGGCAGTTAGGATCTTTTAAAAAGCCGTGCTTCCCTTTGAAGCCAATGACTAGGGGGGCTCCCAGTCCGAAAGTTGACATACCCCCAACAGAGCACCACCTCTAAAGACAATCTGCTTGGAATGGACCCTGTTTGCGGTCCTTCTGTCCAAATAGGCATGGCAAGTTGAGCCATACGGTCACGGCGTTTTAGGCCAACGGCTCCTGGGGAATGGCCCCCCCCTTGCGACCCTCAAGTCCTCCCTAACTACACGTAGCCCCCACATTCGCACATGACTTGTGGGGCAATGCTCATGTTCAACCCAAGCCTCGGATGCATTTTGTTTGACCATCATTGTTCTAGAGGGCGCGTAGTTCAAATGTCACTAGCCACCATGCAGCACTGGAGTTGTTGCCTCGTATACGCCAGCATGAACGTAGATGAGGCGATTTTCCGGAGCAGGGATGATGAAGCCCAAATGACGGGCCAAATGGGAACCCAGGATCAATAGCCCCGTGATTGGTGTTGGTTCGGGTGAATGACCTGGTTTTTGAGAGGCCCCACGACGAATCCAGGATTAACCTAGGTTCCTTACAGCATGCATTCAAAAACCAGCTGATTTTCCAGGCGCTCCTCCACGCACGCCAGCTAGCAGAGGTGGATTTTCCAAGTGGCCCAAATGCCCACTTTAACAGGGTTCCCCTCTGTTCCAAAACATGCAGTCATCACCCCTGCCAAGGGAGATTGGTGGTTTGGGGGATGAAATGGGAAGCCACCCCCCAAAACACCCAAAATGATGCTACAACCAAATATGTCCAGTGATAGACTCCCTTTAAAGCCGACAGGAGGAAGTGACAAGTATTAAGCAACTGGAAGCTGAGAAGATGTGATGTTATTCACCGGACTCCGAGGGGCCCCTCCACCAGCCGCATCTGCACCTCCACGTGCTCGCCCATCACCATCAGCGCCCCGTCGTCGATCTGCAAAGATCCGAAGCCCATCCTGGAAGGCCGAAGAAAGATGTCAGAAGAAGCCACCATGTGCAAATGTCTCCCTCCATGTTGTGTTACCTACGTAGCACCGAGCGTTTCACACAGGAGTTTGGGGTCGTGGGGTAGTTTGGAACTACATTTAGTTATGACTACGGCAGTATGCTACCCCTTGTAGGCCGCTTCCCCTTAACAAAAGGAAAAAGCCACAACCGTTTACACCGGGTCCCTTAAATATACTTACTTAGACGGGCGGACCGAAAGCTGGCACCTGTCACAAGTCAACGCTTCATCAGCCTTTCAACAAGTCCCCTTCGCAGGTCTCCCCCCCGACGCTTCTGAATCCGTCGAAATGGCAAGCCTTGACAAACGAAGACTTCGCGCGCGTAAAGAATGGCATGTGGCAAAACACCTGCCATGCCAACATGTGCAAAATGCACCAAAACCCACAACCCCCTTCCCCCCTCGAGTGCAAACCTCAGGCAAAACCTGTTCAAAGCCAGCTTTCGGGATTTGAGCTTATAGAAACAGATATTGTCCAGCTCACTTTGGAGGATCCCCCAGGCAGGTGGTTTTGGGATGCATTCTTTAATTTAAGGGCCACAGTGCATGGCTGAGAATCGGCTGGCCAAGGCAGCAAACCGGATAGGAATCCATACTTGGGCCGGACTTGCTTGCAAAGAGGAACCTTCGGAGAGAGGAATCATCCTAAGTGGAATCCCGCGTCCTAAGCTCTCGTGACGGTCATAGTCATAGTATCACTAGGAGTCGTGGTCATCGTCGAAATTCACTTCCAGGGGTTCATGAGACCATCTCTTCCAACCCTAAGTAAGCAAAGGATCTAAGGCCATGGGCAACGCTCTTTGAGAAGGGTTGCCTTCAAACTCGGGTCGACGTCCCATCCATAACTACCCTACCCGAAGGCATTCTAACGTGGCACGCGCACGCCCATCGCACACGCACACTCACGCCCACACCCACACCCACATCCACTCCCACTCGCACACACACACACACACAGACACACACAGACACACACACAGACACACACAGACACACACAGACACACACAGACACACACACAGACACACACACACACACAGCAACGAACATGCAGCTTTGCAGGTTTCCTCTAGTTGGTGATTTGGAATTGTGGTTTGGAGGTTAGGGGTGGCTTCACCATGTTTCACCCCGAGCCATGTGGGAAACTCTCACCAGTCCTGCTCAGGACTAGAGAACCCTATCAGGCTGAGAGTCGCCCCTATCCCGGACCCTCAATCACTGACAACAACGGACTTAGGTGACTTAAGAATTCCTCAAGGATTTTCCGGCTTCCTGTGTAACCATGTGAAAATTGGCAACCGCTGTGATACCAACGGAAGGCCTTCCATAAATGTGTTAACTCTCTTTAAGGGGAGGCTCCTTGCAGAAGTGGGAACCCTCCCAACCCCTTATTCCCGCGCTGCTCTACGGGAAGCCCATCGAAAACCCGCCTCAGGGTTTCCAGGGCCGCCGCGCGGCTCTTGGTGAGCCCCAGCCAGAACCTAACGCCGAGGCTCCCATGGGCCGCGGTCAAAACCGAAAAGGCACCCCACATTTGGGGCAACAAAGGCCAAAAAGTGCTCAATGGCTTCCCCTTATCTTAGGAAAGCCCAAGCACTTGGAGTTCCCCAGCTTGGTCCAGTTTGGGAAGGGTCAGAACCCCTTTCGCAAACAACCAGCCCGAAAGGCAAAATTGAAGGGATCCACAGCTCTTGACGCAAACCCATCTCAGCATCACCTGCTAGAGAGGAGCCCTTCAAAAATCCGCCGTGGCCAGAGCTCCATTTCGGCCTTTGCCGCTGAGGAGTCTGTTTTTTTGAAGGTACCTCCCTTTGGCTGGTTTTCAATCGGAATTTTAGCAAAGTGAAACCACTAGAGTACTAGTCAAACTTTCGGAAGTTCCAACCGCCGGCGGGAGCCGATGTCTGCGGATTTGGGGCTCAAAGCTGCCCCGATCCAGCGAACGGCACTTGATGCCCCCAGTCTCTTGTGGCTCAGTCTTTGCTCTGCGAGCTTCTCCAGAGGACTGCGCTGAGTTTCTCAGGTGCTTCAGTCCCCAGGCGCCTTTCCAAGCGTTTCACGCCTCCCCTCGCCTTCCCTCCCCCCGAGGCGCATCAAGGGCACCAGCGCGTCCGCGTTCACATGCCCGGCGCGGCGTCCTGGCCGAAGCGGAACAATCGGGGAAAGGAACTCACCGAGCTTACATTTTCAGGGGTTCGCAAAAAATGACGTTTGGGTCCTTGTGGTTTGCCTTGAAACCACCGCTTGGCTCGGGCCATTTTGAGACTCGCCGCTCGTTTTCTTGGGCTGGTAGATTTCCAAGTACAAAGGACAGCTTGCCCCCAAACAAACAGGAAACTGTTCTCTGACCCACAAACAAAAATCCCTCTTCCATCAAAAACCTAAGAAACACACCAGACACCAGTTGCCCAATGACCCCGATAGAAAAGGAATTGACGCCCTTCTTGGGCTTGGAACTCCCTTTTTTGGTGTTTGAAGGGTGGAAGCCACTTTGGGGCCATCCGCAGGCAAGAGACCAAAAGGCCCCCCCCCCCTTTTTCCGCCCCCCCCCTCCCCCACCCCGCGCGCCAAAAAGCAAGCCAACACACAGCGCAAGGAACTCTGACCGTTCAGCAGAACCCACGAATTTGATAGGGGATACAGGTTGTCGCTTCCGACAACAGGAGACCTACCACGACAGGAAATCCCACGGGAAGATCTCCGCAGTCGCTCCTGGGTCCAAAAGCTCCAACATCCGCTGCATTTGGCTGCCCTTGCTGGTGCCGGTGGACTTAGCCGGCGCGTGCCCGCCTAGCAAAGCACATCGAAGCAATGGCGAGAAAGTGTGAAACCAAAACCCTGCATATGTGTACGTCTTTCTCTTGTTCTCTCCCTCTCTATTTCCTCTTTCTTTGCTCTCTCGCGGGCACCTTTTCGTTGCCTTGACCCTCTGGACGCTGGACACAACAGAGAGACAGAGAGAGAAAGACCGAGGGAGAGAGAGGGAGAGCAAGACAGAGAGAGAGAGAGACTCTATGTAGGTAATTGTCCACAGAGAAGGCTAGAAGGAGGGAAGGAGAGAAGGCGAGAAAGAGAGAAATAGAGATAGAGAGATAGCTAGACAGCGAGACAGAGAGACAGAGAGAACTAGAGTAATAGAGAAGTAGAGCAATAGGAAAAAAAAAAGGAGAGAGCAAGAGAAAGAGAGAGCAAGAGAAAGAGAGAGGAGCAAGGGAAAAGGGAAAGAGAGAGCAAGAGAAAGAGAGAGGAGCAAGGGAAAAGGGAAAGAGAGAGCAAGAGAAAGAGAGAGGAAGAGAAGAGAGAGCAAGAGAAAACATACAAGGACAGTCCTGGGCAGACATTACAGTCCTGTTGAGGATGCCCCTTTGATTTGTGCAAGGGGGAACCGAAGAAAACTTTGCTGGGGTGGGGGGGCATATCAGGCTTCGTTGGGTTGGCCTTCAACAACTTGCCATTCTTACAATCCTTTGTGGGACTTTCGTGCGGTCGACCCTCACAACTGATTGTTTGGCGCCCCCATCCTGAACCCCAAAAGCCCGCTGCCAAGATCTGTCAAGCAAGGTGGCTGGTTTCAAATGCTCCCAAATGTCCTTGCTTGCCAATGCCGCCCATGGGTTGAGATGAATGGGCCGTGGACCAAACAAGACTGATTACCTAATCACCTGCAACTTGTTGCATCTTCTTGCATCAAGCCACCGAATTCACTGTGATATACCACCTCCTTGTCACAGGAAAATGACGTGAAGTCCTTGCGAAAAGCAACATGAAAGATACAACGGTGCATTCGATCACCGAGGACCCTTGAACAACTACTGCTACAAACAAACGCAGACTTGCATTATTGACCAGCCAACCTTTACTGTAGCCATAGACAGCTGCCCGGCTGGAAAACCAAGGTGGCAACCCGCGAGGGCGTCGTGGGTTTTACAATCCACCGTTGCAGAAAGGCGGGTCATCCATCAAAGAAGCTCCGCGAATCGCGATGCGCATACACTTGCAGAGCGAGCGCGCTTACCATTTGGCAGGCATGTGTGCAGCGAGGACCCCCTAAGAGGAGCTATGGGCCATGGGGAGGGATAGCCCCCCATAGCTCACCGACCCATCCATCCATCCATCCATCCATCCATCCATCCATCCATCCATCCATCCATCCATCCATCCATCCATCCATCCATCCAGGCCACCGCTCAAACTCCTCCCCCAGACCCCTCCGGAGCGACCCCGCCTGCGTGGAACTTGCGCTTGGCGTTTCGGGAGAAGGACCCCCCCGGCTCCTGGCGAAGCCGGCAGGCGCGTCCGAGTCCTACGTAAGCGAACCGAAGGCGTATACCTTTGGGGGGTTCCCTCAATAAAAGACACACCCATCTTTCATAATGTGGATGCGCAAAACCGATTTCGCAATTAAGATGGACGAAAGCCTCAAAATACTGGGACAAACTACTAACTGGTGTAGGGTTGTGTCCATCCACTGTATGTTGGAAGCAGGCAGATAGGACACCCTTCTCTCATGACTTTCCAACCCTCCAAGGACGGTGATCGCTGCCGGACCGAGATCATCCAACAAAAATGCGTCCCATTCTGCTGCTTGCTGGTGTTCCGGCGGCCCATTTGCCGAAATCCCCAGGCCAATCCAAAACTCTATCCCATCCAGACCTTCGAAATTGGGAGTCTCTTAAAATAGCCGACCCAAAAAATGGATCTCGGCTCTCCCCGTGTTTTTGTTTTGTTTGAAACCAAACCTTCCATGTGCGTAAAACCCTCTGGAACAACAACACAAACCGGGACAACAGGACATTTTTTAAGCAACTGGAAGAAACGGGTACCCGCAAAAAAAAAAAGACCCATCCCGAGCCCAAAGCATCCGGCTCCGCCTCCGGCGCCGGCTCCGGCACGCCCCGGGGCTCCGAGCCCCGCAGGGCTTTCAAGCGCCTCCGCGGCCGAAGGGTGTCGAGGGTTTGAGGCTCAGCGCCCTTTTAAGCCGCCCTTTTTAAAGCATGAGGGACGGCAGGAGAAGATCCAAATGCCACCCCCTTTTTTGGGGGTCCCCCCTTCGCGCCTGGCTGCGTGCCCGCAAAAAGGGCCGCCGAGTGGGCGTGTCACGCCAACCCGAGCCCTCAACAGCCTAGCTGTGGACGCCTCACAGCCCAGGGGCCCAAAACATCACAGAACCTCGTTGCGATTCATTCCTGGCGACAGGCCAGTTCTCGGGCATAGACAAGTGCACAACCACCCCTTCTTCCTCAACCCGGTGATGGAAGGACTTGAGGCCATCACTGCAGGCGCTCTAAGAAACCCCCGATGAATCCAAAGCATCCACCTTCCCGTGAGGGAGAAGCAGATTGCATCTCACTTTGGGGAGACGCATCAAGCCGCCTGGGTGGCAAAACTTGATGAATATGCTAAGAAACGCACACAAAGGCCTCTGGATCTTCACCTTTCTCCGGCAACCTTCTGGGTAGCCCCTTTTCAGGGCTCAACACAAACGACGAGCCTGATGTTGCGAAAGGCGTTGCGCCCTAAGCGCCGGTCCCAGAAATCTTCCCTCAAGATAAGGGCCTTTGATCCCGAGGGGCGTGCAAACGACAAACGACACACACACACACACACACAGACAGACAGACAGACAGACAGACAGACAGACGGACGGACGGACAGACAGACAGACGGACAGACACAGACAAACAGACAGACACAGACAGACAGACAGAGACAGACAGACAGGCAGACAGACAGACGGACGGACGGACGGACGGACGGACGGACAGACAGACAGACAGACACAGACAGACAGAGACAGACAGACAGACAGACAGACAGACAGACAGACAGACAGACAGGCAGACAGGCAGACAGGCAGACAGGCAGACAGACAGACAGACAGACAGACAGACAGACAGACAGACAGACAGACACATACCAGATACCTAGACACGCCGAAATATGTTCCTTCCTTGTCGCCCAATTCGATTGCTGGGCCCCAGCCCTCTTGGCTTGGAGCGGAGATTGGCATTTCACCCGGCCCCGAGCATTCCCGAAACCTCCAAGCACCGCAAAGGGACGCCACTCGGCTTACCGTCCCATGCTTCTCTCTTCTCGCCTCCCCTTCCCAAATCCACACGCCTTGCAAGCAGCACCTGCTCCGAGCCCGTGTCATTCTTCTGCTCCACGGCAGACATGAAGTCGCCCTTCGGACACGGAGTCGGCTTCGGGAAGTCGGCTTCCCGAAGCAGATGGCTACGACTCCACCGAGTTGAAGATACACAAAGGGCTCCCTCAACCCCAAAGTCCAAACTAAGGCCTGGCCGTCAAAAGCCAAAGGCGAATCTCTGAAATTGGGGGGGTGGGGGGGGGGGAAATTCAGCATAAACTTGTCTACACTCAACCTCCTTTCCAGCAAAAAACGTCTGGCACAGGGAACCCACCTTGCATAGGCCAAAGCGTCCTGTTTATAACAACAAATCAAAATGAGAAATATAGGAAACCCTCTAGAAGTGGCGTGCGCTTCCTGGGAACCCATCAGTTAATGGCAACTTGCGACAGGCAGCTCCTTTAACCCATGCCCACCTCCTCCTGGCTCACCCCACCCCCCTCACCCCCAGTCTCGAATCGAACTCCTAAACCGCCCAATCATTGACCGGTGGTCCCTGAAAGGTCCCTGTTGAGTTTCCTGGTGAGGATCATGGATTAGGATTGCAAAACTGTCCATTCTTGAATAGACGAAGGTTGAACCTATCTGCATATAGATACACAAATATATATATATATATATGTGTGTGTGTGTGTGAGTGTATTCTAGATAGTGTAGTGTAGTCTGGCCTAGCGTAGCGTAGTGTAGCGTAGCGTAGTGTAGTGTACTTGTGAGGTTTTCCTGTGGATTCAGGTTCCAACCCTGTGCATGAGTGTACCTTGTACATGCTCCGCCGCTACAGACTTCAAGAGCACTATCAGCAGTGTGAAAAGTAGTCAACGGTTTGCTGCTTGCCTAGGCATTACCTTAGGTGGCCTAGGCTTGATAACACAGGTTATCAGCCGTAAAGGCTTGTACAAAGATCGCCATGGCATCCGGAGATATGCCTGCTATTTACAACATATCTGGAGACGTTGGTGACGGTAGTGAAGGTGCAGTTGCATCCAATGGTCCTGTTGACCCTCGCGATCCTCGAAATGTATTCGGGTTCGCGACAAACTACCAAGCCACCCAGAACATTATGCATGTGCATAACGACACGGGTGACGCTGTTAGGGAAGAGGCCAACACGTTACATCGCGTTGCTATGGATGCTGTAAGGGCGGAATATAGCGCTCATTTGGCAGAAACTGTGCATCGCCTGGATGAGGAGAACAACCGCCGGACCCTTGAGCTGCACGAGCAGTTCGCAGAGTCCCGCGCTTTCTTCAGCGCCCAGGTTAGCCAGATGCGGGGAGCAATTTCTGCCGAAATGAACGAAGCTGTGTCGCAAAGAACGGCACAGTATAGCGCTTTCGCACAAAGCTTACATGCTGAAGCTGTTGTGATGGAGAATTCGGAGAAGGCGGTCGGTGAGCAGAGAGACAGTATTTTGGCGGAGAATCACGCCATGCAGGACACGATCAACGGGCTGAACGACACCGTTGAGCGTCTGAGGAACGATCTCGAAAAGGCGCAGCGTGAAATGGTGCGCGGAGATCCTCAGCCTGCGTCAAGTGTACAGAACGTCAGTTCGGAGTCGTTTTTGGATAAGAGGGGCAGTATCTTTGATGATCCGCGTCTTTTTCCAACGCAGAATGCACAAACTTCTGGGACTATGCCACAGATTATTCCACAGCAGAGTTGGACTGATCCTATTTCTGGTGCAATGCAGTTTGATATCAAAGATCATGCGAGACGGTCTTCGGAGCAAGAGAACAGCCGAAGTCAGCAAAATCAGTCGACAAATCAGCCGAACATTGATCGGTTGACTGGTCCCGAGACCACCGAGGCGGAGTTCCGTGCGGCCCTCCTCGGCTTCGTCCGGAATCAGCATGATCGGCCGAAAGCAAAGGAAGCTGATTCGTTGAGGCTGAGTGAGTTTCCCACTCCTGAGACCTATAGAGCCTGGAAAACGGCTACTCGCGAAGAGATTCGGGCTGCTTCAGATCGGCCTGATGCTGCATTCACCTGGGTTAACAAGGTGTACGTCAACCGGGAGGACAAGAAGAATCTCATGTTAGAGCTTGGAGATCCAGAGCAGTTTGAAACGTTGGATACAAAGCTTCTTGCGGCCTTGTCGCGGATTGCTAGGGGCGACCTTAGTCGGCAGATCCTCACCTACAAGGAGCAACAAGCTGCTTTGGACAGAGTTGTCCGTGGACGTCAAGTTCTCCTCATGTTTGAGCAGTATTTCAGAACAAATGAGGAGGCCGGGGCGTTGTATTCCACTGAAGATTTGTTGAAGGTGGTGCTTCATGGCAATGATTTGATGACCTTTATTCAGAATTGGGATTCCGTCATTGCTGGCATGAAGATCGTTCCGGAGCAGCACGTCTTGAAGGACATTTTCTTGCGACAGATTCGTGGATGTCACAAGATCAAGTATGACCTCGATACATACGAGCGTGCAAAAGATGGGTCGTATGACAAGAGCTACGAGTTTCTTGTTCAAGCCGTTCGTGATGTTTTGACTCGGGAGCGATTGCAGTCAAATCGTGATCGTGTTGCTCGAGCTCACAATCAGAAGGTCGGTGCTCCAGCTCCCAATGCAAATCCTGGGCGTGCAAGAGATCCTTCAGCGGTCAGGTATTGCTATGATTTTCAGAAAGGCAAGTGCACTCGGGATAATTGCATTTACAAGCATGAGAAAGACCCAAGACCCCCGAGCCAAAATCCGAAAGGAAAAGGTCGGGGGCGCTCTGACAGCCAAACGAGAGACAGGGATCGGTCGGCATCGAGAAAGAGAGCGGAGCTGAAGAAGATCCCCTGCAGGTTTTTCAAAGGCGGTCAGGGGAAATGCACTCGTGGAGACAACTGTGCGTTTTCGCATGAGACTCGGCCTGCTGCACCAGCAACAGATAAGCCGAGCCCAAAGAAAGGAGCCAGCAGAGGTAGGTCTCCCACCCCAAAGGGAAAAGGGAGGAAGCGATCCCAGAGCAAAAAGGGCGAGTCCTCAGCCGCTGTGTGTCTGAGGGTGAAAGAGACCAATGCATGCCTCGCAGCATGCCGCCCAAAGCAAGATTTCTGGGAAGTTGACTCGGTGAACGAGATGGTCATTCGACACCATGTGATGCCCCGAAAAGCGCTTTATGATCCGAAGAATGCAAAAGACCTTCCGATTTCGCTGGAACGTTTATTGGATCAGCGCATCACCAAAGCCAACATCAATGGCAAAGAGCAAGTATTTGGTGATTTCTGGGCGGATCCTGATGAAGGTTTGGAGCAATACTGGACTGGGCAAACAATTTTCATTTGCAGTACAGATGTTTCCAGTACCCGCAGATGCGTTAAATTCGCAGACAATGTCGAGATCGTTGAGATCGAGGCCAATGGGCTATGCCTATCATGTGCTCCAAAGCCGAATGACCCTGAGGTTGTGTGGTATGATGGTTGTGCGCCTGGCTCAAATCCCAAGGATCTGATCGATGCTAAAGACAAAGCTTTGATTCTGGAAGGGGTTGTTGACTTGATGCATGCAAACTACAACGCGCCTTGTGGGTTCTATTGCGAATACTATGATGACAATGACCCAATTTATTGCGGTTTATATTGTCCTGGCTGTTGGATTGATGATGACGAAACGAACCTTGACGATGTGCCGGAGTACATTGCTACCCCAGCACCAGCAGGGCTTCGTCAGTGGATTGTCGACACAGGTAGTGAACAAGATCTGGTTGACTCTGAGCGTGCAGTTACACTTCAAAAGAAGATAAATCCTGCATTGACTCCAATCAATCTTTCAACAGCAAATGGATCAATTTGTGCAGACAAGATTGCGGACTTCTCCATTGATCAGTTGAACGAGGTTGTCACTCCGTATGTTTTGCCGAGCACGCCAGCTGTCCTTTCTGTTGGTCAAAGATGTTTGGAAAAGGGGTACGATTTCGTATGGAGAAAGAACAGTGCTCCGTACTTTGTCCGACCTGACGGGAAAGCGGTAATATTGAAGCTCGATGGGCGAGTTCCATATGTTGATGATCAGTGCGAGGTCATAGCTTCTGAATCAGCTATGCCTGTTGCTCTTGCTGCATCCGATCAGAAGATCGGGGGCGTTGAAGCGCCTTCATCTTCAAGCGGAGGGCAACCTCCGCCGGATGCTGCATCGTTTCCATTGCGCCCTGATGAAGCTGAACCGCTGGAACCGGAGTTTGACCCGGAATTGGAGGACAACCCTGAGGTTGCGAAAGCTCCAAAACCGATGTCAAAGCGTTCAAAAGAAATCATGATGCGTGAGGCCAAAAGTGAAGAGCATCTTTTCACTCACAGGCCCAAGAACCCCTTTTGCGAAACGTGTGTGCGATCAAAGATGCAAGCACCTCAAGCTCGTCGCAGACATGGATCTTCTTCGGTGGATGCAAAAGCATTTGGAGATCATGTGACCGCTGACCACGTCATTTCAAATGATGAGACGTATGGGTTCAAGGGCGAGTGGAATGCTTTGGTCGTGAAAGATGTGTTCACGCAGTTCCGGTATTTTTACCCTTCAGCAAGGCAAGATGCTGACAGTTGCGTTCGTGCATTTCAACATTTCACGAAGCCAGATGATCATGTTGGGATTTTCTATTCTGACAATTCTGGCGAGATTGCAGCTGCAGTAAAGAGTATGGGTTGGAGACACGTGCTGAGTCAGCCATATGTCAGTCAATCTTCCGGGGTGATCGAGCGTGAGATTCGTACAATTCTGGAGGGAGCAAGAGCAAATCTGTTTCAAAGTGGTTTGCCGGTTGAGCTTTGGCCTTTGGCAGCTCAACATCATGCATTTGCTCTCAATGTTACAATTCCAGATGACAAGGATAAGTCGCCGTGGGCTTTGCGTTTTGGTGATGAGTTTCCTGACACGAAGATTCCATTTGGTGCAAAATTGTCGTATTGGATCAATCGTCAGCGCGTCGATTCGAAGCAGTCCAAGTTTCTGCCAACTTCGGATGTCGGCATTTTTGTTGGCTATCATGTGCAACCTGGCTTTACCTACACCCATGAAATTTTGGTATTGCCGCTCAAGAATTTGCCGGACAA